GACTAAATTCCAAACGATAATCTTAGGTAGCCCAAGATCTAAACTTGATATTCCCACCCTACCATCAATTACGTTTACTGATAATGTCATACCATTCTCTTCCTATGTAAAGAACGTTGGTCTGTATGTTGTTTAACATGGAACAAGCATATACAGGAGGTATATCGATTAAACAACTTTATTCCCACCAATTTTAAGATTTTACTTGTCGAATCACTTATGATGCCGATTATTGATTATGTTAATGTGTGTTGCTCAGACCTGTCGCAACATCATCTTAATACTTTGGATCGTCTGCTTAATAACTGCATCAGATACATTTGTGGTCTTCGTAAATACTACCACGTATCTTCTTTTCCTACTCAGCTAAATTGGCTTCCTATCCGTCAGCGCAGATATGTTAGAATACTCTGCACCCTATTCACAATTCTGAACGATCCATGTGCTCCCGAATATCTGAAATGAAAATTTCAATACCTGGGAGATTTTTATAATTGTTCTCGCCGTTCTTCGGCTAATTTTAAGTTGCTCACTCCTTTACACCGTACGTACTTATCTCACTCTTTCGCCTTGACGGCCATCAGAGTCTAGAACGACATCCCTCTTGACATTAAAAAAACTCCCAACGATTTTTTTTTAAAATCAAGTCCGTAAGCATGTGAGAAAACATTGCAAGTTTGAACAGCTCTTATTTTCATATGCATATGTTTCATATTTGTTCTGACGTAGATAATATTTATATGTATTATGTATGTGTATGTATATATTGTATGTATTTAAGTATATATTAATATATGTATATGTGTATATATACATAATATTTTTTATCATGTCTATTTCTGTTTAGCCTAATAGTTGAATGGTAGAGAACGCCCTATGGCATTAAGTCCGCCATATGTACTACTTTGTGCATAAAAGTATAAATAATTAAATAAATATTTTGGTACTCGCAAACTCACTCTCAAAACGTATAGGTTATTTCCCGTTGACTTTTAATCATAAAATCAGATAAGAAGCAAGCGCTCACAGCAATCATCTTTCAATCATAATTAAAGGTATACGGAACCTTAAAGCCGCAAGCTCACTCGCATTTGTCCGATTTTTTATATTGGTATTTTTGGCTATATTGGGAACCCGAAGCATAACTGTTCAAATATTATTATATGTGTGTATCTTAATTCAAATATTCTCGTAAATACATGTATCAACTTCATACATAATAAGTACAAGCACAATCACACCGAAACTCATTTACTCAAGTGTTGTTCAATTTCATGTTAAGGAAAATGAACTTGCTTAGGTACGCTATATATATTCATACCTAAGAGAATAATTAAGCAGAAACCAGATGAGACTCTGATGTTAAATAATTTTACGATTCGTTGACAAATGACATTTTCACAAATGATTTAGAAATTTAACACTTGCTTGACTATAATAATACTATAGTAGTTTAATTTAGACATCAGTAATTAATATTTAAATCAATTTAAATCAAGAAGTACATCTCGTATGTACATATAGACCACGTGAGTAATGCTCAAGAATCTACATGCTCTAATAAAGAGTGATAAATAAGATAAAGGTCTTCGCCTCGTTAGTATCTAGTTTTATACTAATTATAATATACTAGCTATCCGCCCCGGCTTCACACGCGTGATTTCTGAATCTCGACAACATCGCCATCTACCGGGTCCAATTGTGAATCCGTCATCTGACTTTAGGCAAAATCTGGACTTCTTTGTAAATAGAACTCGACTCCAAGCATCGTCATTCCAATTTTCGTGACTGTGAGCAAAATTAACTCGAGCTATTCGATAACATGTGGCAAGAAGGCAAAGCAGGGGGCCTCGGCGAAAAAAATGTGAATTTATTGCGTCAGTCATTTTCTCACACTTTTTGTGCTCACTGTAACCCCTTGAACTTCTTCAACTTCGCTTAGAAGAAGTTAAGGTCCGGTTTCTAACGAACCGCTTGTAACGAACTGGTCATCTCTAGCCACAGTTTTCAGTTTACGTCTCTGTCCTGCGATTCTCGTATACTGCCCGGCCTGCCGGTTGTACCTTTTGATTTTTTATTAAGATTATTTAGCTTGGATGCTTGTCCTCTAAGTCATGTCTTAATTTTGGAACCTAATTCCTTATCGCACGGTGCGAACTTGACGGATGGCGGCTAGTGTGAGGAATAATATCCACCTCCCTCGCACTTTTTCTGATCTTGCCATGAAAGAAATATTATTTTAAATGATGCTTCATTTCAATAGACGCTAGTAATTCATTTATTTGTATTTGTTAATCAATAATATAATACGTTCATCAATAATAATATACTACGAAAGGAACTTCGTTCCATCCGAGTGTTCCACGATACTCACGCATGTTTTTTTTATCTCAGTATCAAGTGATAATAATCCTTTATAGTACACAGCTTCACAATATGTTGATGCGTCACATAGCGAAGTTTTTGAGAGATTTTGATGGCAATTTGAGCCAGCAGACAGTTGGCGATAGTATCTCAAGTCGCTTTCAAGATAAAGCGACTTGAGATACGATACGATGGTGATGTGAATCTCAAGAGATTCACATCACCATCGTCGCTCTTCTTTCACCGTTTGCACTAATAGTTCACATGCGCAGACATTTAATACACAAAATTGCACCATTTTTACACACCGAAATCCACTTCGTACCATTATTTAAACAATAACACAGGAGCAGTAATCTACCATCAGTCAAGTTCCCGCCAAAACTCTTGAAGTAACAATTCACACTTAACACGATAAACAAGGCAGTCAAGGCAAAAATTTAAACAAAACATAAATTAAAACTCGAAAATTCGGAAAAAAAGCATTTCTAACCTTTATTAGGGTTCCATAGTTACACAACAAGAAACCCCAATAACTTCGCCATGTCCGTCCGTCCGTTCGTCCGTCCGCGGTTTTGCTTAGAGACCCTAGGTGTTAAAAATCTGTAATTTGGCATACTTATAGATATTAAAAACGTCTATAAAACTGTGAAATAAAATCTTAAAAAACATTTTTAATTTAGTTATTTCCCATACAAGTAAATCGATTATTTTTTACCCGTCTATTCCATCATGTGGGGTATCGTTGGATAGGTCTTTCAAAAACACTGGGGTATGGAACAATTTTTCGATACAGTGGTCCGTTTTACGAAATATTTAGCTTTAAAGTGATATTTTTCATTAGAGTCATGTGTCCCCCCTCCCCTCCCCCCTTTACCATCTAAACCGCTGTTTTTGGAAATGTGAAAAGTATACATGATGGTAGCATATATAATGATATTAAAAGGAAAACTATCACAGCTAAGTAGAATTAAGAAGTTAACGAGTAATAGTTGACTAACTTATCAAATGCATTTGGATTATTAATCATTTTGTTACGATTTCATAGAAAATGACCCAAAACTAGCTGCATTATAAGCTTTGTAATGTTATTGTAAACTGTTAAAATAAATATTTTATATAAAGAAAACGATTTTTATGCATTACTACTATAGCTTTACTTTTTCATTTGCGGGATAGGAGGGGAGGGTCTTTCTTACTTACTAGTTTTACTTATTTTTTAGTTGGTAGTTATTGTAGGCCTCATTCAAAGTATTTACACAATCATATACCCTCATACAGTTTCATTCGTCACACTCTTGGTTTACGCGGGCGACCTCAGGATAATTTAAGGCAGTGGAGGTTTACGTGAAGGTTCGTTACTGTTATATACGTATATCTTAGGGTTGCACTGCCGTGAATATATAGATGATGTAAATTGTATTATTTTCAAAATCGAAAAGTTTTTTTATCTTTTTTGAATACCACTCCCCATAAGTTTGAGTTGAAAATAAGTCCTTCAGTTACGATCTTCCTATTTGGGCCCATTTTCAATCGTTATAGCGGTCAAAATGCGAACTCACTTATTATGGTCATTATCAAGAAAGCCCTTGTATTATGACGGGCAACTACGGAACCCTGCCTCTACATTGTGCGTGGCTCGACACACACTTGGCCAGTTTTGTAACAGCATTTACTAATGTTGGTGGCCAGTAGGCACAATAATTACAACGGGAGAAATTGAACCTTTTTTTTCTGCGTTCCTCTAAAGTCCATGAGTGGTAGATGGAGAATCATTTGAGATGTTTTAAAGTATTAATAAGATTCTGGAGCAACAACTTTGACGTATAGTGAGCCATTTATAATGCTATTCAAAGATATGATCGTATTTATGTAAATTGAAAACAAATCTTACACAGCTAATATCTGTTTCTTTATTTTTTCTACCTCGGTCTAGGGGTTGTAAATGCAACTGCTTCTCATTTGGTCTTGGGTTCAAATCCCGGGTACGGGCTAAATCAGATGTAGCGTTTTTCAGTCAAGAAATTCTTTGTTCCAGACCAGAGTCAGTTATATGTATATTTAATTATTGACATAACACATCCATCAGTGAAATTGGATTGACTTTTTAAGTCTTCATTTGTAAGGACAATAAAAAACGTACAGCTTTTGCGTGGGTAAGAATGCTACCATACATTTTGGAATAGATTTCCAGTTTGCTTCGCAGCCATGTGCCGAAATGTTACAAAATTATTGCTTTCAAACGAGAACATTAAACACTGATACTGCGAACAGATGCGGAATCAAATCCGTCAACGAAAATTGTTTACTGATCGGTTGCATGCTTTTGAATTTGGTCGTGCCAAATGATCGTACGGTAACTGAATAAAATATTTTTAACCATAAATTTGTTGGTGGATTCGTTATATATGTGCCGAAGTACGACTTTGAATCGTATATGTAACTTAGAGCAGTATTCAAATGGACTTATGGTGAAAATAATAAGAGAATTTCTAGAGAAAAAAAACCGTTTTGAATTAATGCAGTGTTCGTTTTGGTGTATATTTACAAAATTTGTTATGTTTCTTAACGCAATCGGGACAGAGTATCGCTTTCTCTTTATCATGGAAACCAATTGGGTTTATTTTTTGTTACAGTGAGAGTAAGCGTGGCGGCGACCGGCTGGCGACGCCGCGGATGTCGCTACTGGGCAAGCCGCTCAGCTACCGCGCCACGCGACGCGACGCGCGATACAGACGCCTCCAATCAAAGTTCTACAACTTCCTTGAACGGCCTAGGGGTGCGAAGGCAGTCCTCTATCATATGATTGTGTAAGTTCTTGTAAGAAATCTTTTATATTTAATCAATATTAATTATTTGAAGATATAAAAAACTAACAATATTTTGATATGATCTGATATGACCTATGTTTCTATATACAATATGTAACAAAAACCCTGTGGTTCCCGTTAAGTACGTTATCAGGATCATTATTGAAACGTATAGAAATGAATTTTTTTTTAAAACTCAAACAATTTTTTTTTACTTTACTAAAAAAAATAATTGCATGCAAATTGTATGTGGTTTTATTACCTCTGCATTGTCTGGGGAGTAAGACAACGGACAACGGTGGTAGAGCCACGCGGCAGTTTTTACTGTTGCACGTATGGGCCACCTCGAGCCACCCGGCTCGAGTGTACCAGCACCCCTGGAGAATCCCTCGCTGAGCATCCACGACCATGTTATTCCACTCCTAAGCGTGGGTGCTCAGGCTGCCCCGCGTATTCTGGGGAGGGGGAGGAGCAAAATTCCGCTCAAAAACATAACTGCTCGGGGCAAACTGAGCAACAATATCAAGGCGACTCCTGCCACGCTATCCATGAATTTCTGCAACATCAGGGGCCTTCAATCGAACCTAAACGCGTCCACTACCATCTCAAGACGGCGAAGCCGGCCTTGCTCTTTCTGACCGAAACGCAGGTGTCCACTCCGGTTGATACTTCGTATCTCTCCTACCCGGGGTACAAATTAGAGCACTTCTTTGTGCCTCGGGCTGGAGTTTTCGTGTATATCAGAGAAGACATCTGTTCTCGACGCCTCGGCAGTCTTGAAGGTTCGGACCTGTCCATCCTTTGGCTACGCGTAGACAGCGACGACCATCCGCGCGTTTACGGGTGCCTCTATATGTCCCATAGCAGTACTGCCGAAACAGAATGACTCATCGACCACGTCCAAATGGCTGCAGATTCCTTGCTACAACAGGTCCCGTCCGCAGAGATCGTGATCCTTGGCGATTTTAACGCCCACCACGCCGAATGGCTCGGTCCGGTCCTTCAAGAGTTATTGCCAAGGCAAAGTCAGAACACATAGGCAGAATTGGCCAGAAACTAATTCGCCTTCCTTCGGGAACCCGTGCATTCTGGTCTCTCGCCAAGGCTGTCCAAGGGAATTTCTGTAAGCCATCACTACCATCTCTGCACTCACTGGCCCATGCCGCAAAAGACAAAGCCGACCTTTTAGGCTCCCTTTTTGCGTCCAACTCGACTCTTGATGACGGGGGGAAAACACCGCCGACCATCCCGCGGTGTGAGTGCTCCATGCCGGATGTGCTGTTCTCACAGCGCTCGGTTCGCAAAGCACTCCTCTCCCTGGACATCTAGAAGTCGAGTGGGGACTAACGGAATCCCCCCAATTGTGCTGAGGACGTGTGCTCCGGAGTTGACACCGGACCTAACGCGTCTTTTCCGGTACTCCTACTCCCAAGGCGTAGTCCCGAATTCATGGAAGCCAGCTTTTGTCCATCCGATCCCTAAAAGAGGCGACCGCTCAGACCCGTCCAACTACAGGCCTATCGCCATCACCTCCTTGTTCTCCAAAATAATGGAATCCATTATTAACTGCCAGTTCATGCGGTACCTTGAGGATCACCAGCTGATAAGTGACCGCCAATACGGTTTTCGTCGGGGTCGATCAGCTGGTGATCTTCTAGTCTACCTTACCCATAGATGGGCGGAGGCAGTAAAGTCCAAGGGGGAGGCGTTGACCGTTAGTTTGGACATTGCGAAGGCCTTCGATCGGGTTTGGCACAAAGCGCTTCTTTCGAAGCTCCCTTCCTATGGGCTTCCCGAGAAATTGTGCAATTGGATCACCAGCTTCCTTGCAGATCGGAGCATCAAGGTCGTTATAGACGGTGCACGCTCCGACTACAAACCTATTAACGCTGGTGTTCCACAAAGCTGTGTGCTATCATCAACGCTGTTTCTTCTGCATATCAATGATATGTTGCTAACTGGTAACATTTTGCTATGCGGATGACAGCACTGGTGATGCTCTATACACCGGCCGTGCCAATATTTCTCGGGAAAACGTCGCCGAGTACCGGAACAAACTTGTGTCTGAAGTCGAGTCTTTGCTGAACAAAGTCTCGGATTGGGGGCGACTAAATCTAGTCCAGTTTAATCCTCAGAAGACACAAGTTTGCGCGTTTACCGCTAAAAAGAACCCCTTTGTCGTATCTCCTCAGTTTCAAGGTACTTACTTCTTGCCTCAGCCAGTATCGGAATCCTTGGAGTCAACATATCGAGTGATGTGCAGTTTCTTGGTCACTTGGAAGAGAAGGCCAAATTGGCCTTCTCTTCCAAAACTTGGCGTGCTCAGCAGAGCGGGACAGTATTTCATGCCGGCACACTGCCTGCAACTTTACAAGGTGCAGGTTCGGCCTCACATGGAATACTGTTCCCATCTCTGGGCAGGGGCTCCCCAGTGCCAGCTCCTTCCACTTGACCGCATCCAGCGCAGAGCGGCTAGAATCGTCGACGACCGAGTCCTTTCCGATCGATTTGATTCATTGGCACTGCGAAGAGATGTTGCATCCCTTTGCATTTTGTTTCGCATTTACCACGGGGAGTGCTCTGAGGAATTGTTCGGATTAATCCCAGCCGCCAAATTTTACGAACGCACATCGTGACGGAACTCCCGATACCATCCACACCATCTGGATGATTGGCGGTCCACCACTGTGCGATTTAGAAGATGTTTTCTTCCTCGGACGACTTCCTTGTGGAATCGATTACCATCAGCGATTTTTCCGGACCGATACGACTTAGGGACCTTCAAGAAAAGAGCCTATTCCTTTTTAAAAGGCCGGCAACGCATCTGCAATTCCCCTGGTTCCCCTGGTTCCCCTTTTGTTGCAGTTGTTCATGGTGTTCATGGTGTTGCAGGTGAGCCGCATGATTGTTTGTCCCCTCTTCTATAAAAAAAAAAGAAAAGAGGATTGTCAAAGACCCCGCTTTACTTACTTTAGCATCGGCTAGTGTTAGTAAGAGGTAATAAAACCACATAAAATTAATTTTTTTTAACAAAATTAAAAAAAATATATGGTTGATTTTTAAAAACAAATTATTTCTATAGCTTTGAATACTGATCCTGATAACGTACTTAACGGGAACCACAGGGTTTTTGTTACATATTGTATAGGTATTTATTCAAAATTATATTGTTGCCAACTATAATATTGTAGCTTTTAACCTAACATATTTTTTATTTTTTAAGTAGATAGCAATGTATATTTTTTAAAACCACTCGAGCAGTTGTTCGGACTTTACCTGCTTTCAATTAAACTAAGCCTGTGCCTATCTGAGCGGCATATAAAGATTAATAATAAAACTACTTTAATACTAATTAGTCACTAAACGCCTAATGTAAAAGTAATATCGTAAAAAAATCCAACTTATTTAAATACTTTATGCAAATAATTAGAAAACATTTTAAAAATAAACATTTCATTTTGTGGGGATGTTATAAACTAATTTGCTTAATTCCGCGTAAAGAAAGAAAATGATGTGTCCTGCCCAGTTTTAAGGGGAACTCCCACCCTTCCTCAATCGCGCGCACTATACCCGTCGCTGTCAATCGCAGCACTACCATCCCCAGCACCACCACACTAGGCTAAGTCACTTAGTGGCCAGCCTCCGCAGAGTCTACTTCACCTGAGGATGCCTCGTGTAGAGGCGAAACACATGTTGTATTTTCGAGAGTGGTGTGTCGGGCCTAGTGTGGTAGTGCTGGGATTGACGGCGACGGGTATAATGCGCGCGAATGAGGGAGGGTGGGAGGTCCCCTTAAAACTGGACAGGACACATCATTTTCTTTCTTTACGCGGAATTAAGCAAATTAGTTTATAACAACTCCATTATAATAGATTTCCGCAAAGTAACGCCTGATTCTATTAATTATTTAATTTTGTGTAAATTCACTTCATTATATATATTAGATTTAAAAAATATTGAGCTAACAGTCCGCATTAAATATATCAGACTAATGGAAAAGCATGTCGAATCCATCTATCTTATCAAAATAAATCTATCTAATTGTGTTTGTGAAAGAACATTGTTATATGACATCATCTCAGTTGCTATCGTGCTATCGAGTCTATTAGATTCAGTTATTGTTGTGATAATAATGTGAAAAGATATTAATAAGGTATTGAAAATTTAAATAAATCTGTATATATAAAGATAAGCTTTTTGGTCGATGACAAAAGGGTTGATCACAAATAATAATATTTCATTTTGAACCATTTGAAGCAAGTGTGCTACCTGATGTCCCATATTGCGTTGCGACAACCAAACGATGTGACCACGGTTACGCTTGGAACTCTCCTAGAGATCGCCATCTGGTCTCAGTCTCTGAGATCGTTCCCACTTGTCGGGTGTCGGCTCTAGTGGTAGAACATTTTATATGAAACTGTTCAAACTTATCCGACACCGTTTTTTTGTCGACGCCGACAAGAAATGTCGGGTGTTTTGCCAGCCCTCTACGTCCGTAAAAAAATCTTGTCGGATATCGTTCGCATAGGAGTAAGTAAGGCGCTTTTCACGTTATCTCGGATGTCGAGCTCGACAACACTATATCGCGGCGCGCACGCAGAGTTGTTGCATTTTTATTGATATACTCCATTGATATACTCTGGTATATCAATGTATGCACGTTTGGTGTTTCGTAATAAAGGAAAAAAAATATATAAATCCTGAAAATTTGATCACACTAGTTCAGGAAACAGGTGTTCTTTGGAACAAATATTTTCGTTTCGTGGCTTTTTTTCTTTGTTTATCTTCTAAAATTATACATCACAACAAAAGCTTCGTCATTGTCCATCGTATACAGTCGAGTATTTAGTAACGAGGTGTATCTATACTTATTGTGTAATCACGGTTATATCGTAGTAGGAATTTTTAATGGCCAAACACCATTCGTGTCGTAGAGTGGAGACAGCCAATTTATATCTCACACGAAAATAAAGCATTGATATGATATATTTAACAAACAT